TTTTGGAAGAAGTGCAGCCAGAGTGCTCCTTGGAGGCCAGGATGGCTAAACTTCGTCTCTCATACTTTGGACATATTGTCAGGAGGGAGCAGTCGCTGGAGAAGGATGTCATGCTGGGTAAGATGGAGGGTCAGAGAAAGAGAGGAAGACCCCCAATGAGATGGATCAGCTGGGTAGCATCATTGATGGCATCAAATGTGAAGGCAGTAGTGAGGTTGGCCCATGATTGGACATTGTTTCGTTCTGCTGTGCATGGGGTTGCTATGAGTTGGTTCCGACTTGATGGCATCTGACAACAACAACAACAACCCTACCAGAGCATCCCCAGTGTATGAAAGTACAATTGGCACTGTGGTGTAATGGTTTACTTATTATGTCTCTTCTAGTTTGAGTCTTTGTAACTCCCACAAAGTGACTCGTTGCCTGATGTATAAGATAAGAGGGAGAAGATACTGATAGGATGATAAGATTCAGTTGTGAATGACTGTTAACAAAGTTCATTGTGATTATAAAAACTTTGAACACTGAACATGGGAATAAAATAAACCATCTCAGAATCAGAAGGAGCACAATACCATCAAGAAGAAGAGCCAGGAGTAGAGCACATCCTTTGGACCCCAAGATCTCTGTGCATTGAACCTCTTCTGCTCAGGGACATAAATTTGTGACACTGGAGGAATGGCAGAGAAGCAACTGCAACACGACCAAGAGTGAGAGCATGTGACAGAGTTATGGGCTTCCCAGTCCATGGAGCAAGTAACGTTGAATGTCTTTGGGCAGGAAGCTTACTTGAAGAGTGGGATACCTCCAGGCACTTAATTGGGGAAGCTAGATTTGCTGACACACAGAGGCAGAGCTTGGTGGCTAAGAAGTCAACGACCAGAGAGAGGCCTGCCTACAACCATGGCTAGGAAGAGTTTGTCCTGACTGAAAGAATTGTATCCTGAACATGTCTGGTGCTATATTATAACCTGTTAACATTTCTGATAAGTCTTGGAACTGTGAGTATGCTGGCACTTGAGAATTTGTTTAAAGGATGAGTGAATGTGTGAGTAATCTTAAATCAGTAGGAAAATACTTGACTAGAGTTGCATTTTATAAATATCTGTTAGACTATGACTATGGCATATGAATTTTGAATAGGGTATAAAGATGAGAAAGGAGCTCTGGTACCATAGTGGTTATGAATCGGGCCGCAACCCTTAAGATAGAAGTTCGAAACTACCAGCTGTTCTGTAGGAGAAAGATGAGGCTTTCTGCTCTCATAAGGATTTACAGCCTCGGAAACCCTGTTCAGGATTGCTATGGGTTGGAACCGATTCGACGGCACTTAACAACAACAACATAAAGATGAGATGAAAATGAGAGATGAGGATTATATTCAGTAATCTTTTAAAAGATACTACGAGTCCTCCAATAATATTCTTTACTACTTGTGTCTAGGAAGATGGTAGTGGAAAATAAAATATACTAAAATGTACTCTGTATAAATAGTCTTTCTCTGTGTTAGGTGCTTTCACATACTTTTTTCTCAAATCCAAACTCAAGTCTGTATGTTGTTAAGTGCCATCGAGTCGGATCCGACCCATAGCGACCCTGTACAGGGTTTCCGAGGGTGTAAATCTTTACGGGAGTAGAAAGCCTCATCTTTCTCCCACGGACCAGCTGATAGTTTTGAACCGCTGACCTTAAGGTTCGCAGCCCGATTCGTAACCACTACACTACCAGAGCTCTCAAGTCTCTATAATGAGTATTAATTAATTTCATGCTACAAATGAAGAAGCTAAGAGTCAAAGATTAAATAACTTTCCCTAACAAAATCAATTTAAGCACAGATTTACCCAACATCTTATTGCTAAGACTGACCATTTAGTTTTCCAAGGTTCTTTGTAGGCTCTGAATAGGGCAGGAAATGACATATTTGTATTATTAGATATTGTGAGTCCCACTTTTTCATTGGGTGTGATGCTCTTTGCAGAAGTACTTGTCAATTTCCCTTAGTCACATTTGCCTATTACATAACCTGCTTGCTGTCTTCAACTCTGCCTTCTTTGGAATCCTCTGGTTGAGTTCACAAAAGAGTCCCTCTGTCATGCTCAGTTCCTCAAACAATCTTGACTAAGACAGAGAATTATCAATGGTCCAGCACATCCTTTTGCAAATAGCTTAGAGATTAATATGCTCCACTGACACTGGTCCAAAACTGCCTCCAAAAATCTTTAGTTGATTATCAGACCCAGGTCTTGGTATAATTTCCTTTTACCTTGATTCCTTAATTCCTCCAATTTGCAGTTCTTTTTCCCTCTTCTTTCCTGATTAGTGTTTAACAAAATGCCAGGATTTCTCCCTAGGTTCCTATTAAAAATTTCTGCATTCACCTAGGAATAAATTGCATTCACCATTCAGGACTAGAATCCTATTTTATATCACAGCTTTGTGCTTTCATGCTTTGATCTTACTGTTGCCTTTCCCTTGGCTGGAGCATCACTTATGTTTTCATTTGCCTAGCTTCTAATGATCAATTCTGCATTCTTTGTCATCATGGATCATTTGCTCAATGTGATCCTAGTATCTTGTGGCAGTGACTGCTACTTGCTTGTCAAAAATGCATACTCATTTCCTCTATAGGAACTTAATTGTTGGTAAGTGGATGACCAGCCAGAAACTACATTTCCTGTTCTGCTACCCTGCAGAAACAGGGGACCAAATTCTGTCTAATGGAATACAGGTAGAAGAAATATATACCTCTTCCAATTTGCCCCATAGAAACTTTCACAGAACCAACCAAATGTCAATATCCAGAGACTTGGTTATGCTAAAGTGGTAGAATCTTTGTTAACTATGTCCTTGGTTGACTTTTTACATCAGAAACTACTCATAATCAACAAAATGTTATATGGGTGAAAACTAGTCCATTACACACAGTCACTATGACTCTGGGGTTTAACTGATACAATAACTTTTTTTTGTACTTCTTCAAAAAAATTCACTGAAATTTGCTCAACATTATCTGAACAGATTGAGTTTATGACTTTTAAATAAACACTGCCTGACAGGTCCACTATCTTCTATGTAGACTGCCATAGTTATCAGGTCAGTACTCCAAACTCGTCCGAGTCCTCAAGTACAATTTTGAGACCATATTTTGCCTCTCTTCACCTCTGAGTGAGCTTCATGTTGTTTTAAGCTGACCAATATATGCCCATTTATCAGGCTATGTTATACTGCAAGCTACTCAAGATAAAGCTTTTAGAATAAACGAATATAGGAAACGAAAATACCTCCATGGCCACAGGTCTGTGAACACTGTGTCCAAGCTGTCCACCCTGAAAGCTGACAGTTGACCACACATTCCACCAGGCAGTTAATGATCATTCTCTGGGGCTTCTCCAAATTAAGCTGCAAAGAAAAACCAAGCATGATTTCATGAGAAGGGATGCCCATTGATACTGTTGATTTGGCAGGTTATTAAGGACCAGCCAACTAGGACTTAATTAAAAATAGAATAAGACATTCATCTACATTTAATGCAAAAGACTTTATCAAATGACCCCAAAGCTGTATTCTACTCAATGCTTCTTTAGTAAGGAGAGGAAAAACAAGATGATGGAAAGAAAGAATGGAATTGGAGGGATACTTTTTCAAATAAAGATTCCACTGTAAAGAGGAGGACATTTCAAGAAACCAACAAATACTTAGCAATACACAGGTGTATGCAACACCGTAGTACGGTGATAGATACTGGCATTCAAATGAAAGAAGGATGAATGATAATTGGGGTAGAACATCACCTGCACAATGGGTCACGAATAAATCTGTTCAGCCAGGGGCAGTCACTTGTAAAATGTAACACTTTTGGACAAATAAACAAGCCCCAAACAAGGCAACATAACCTACTGTATTTCACTGTCTCGTGGATTGATGGTTAAAGTTGCCAATTAGCCTTTTTCTTTTTCTTATTTTAATGAAGAGAAAGACTATCTGAGATAATCTTTCTAAATTTGGGGAAAAAATAAAATAAACTTCTTTCTTCAAGGACTGATAAGGAGACCTGGTGAAGCAGTGGTTAAACATTCAGTTGCTAACCTAAATATCCTTTGAACTCAGCAGAGGCTCAGGGAGAAAGATGGTGCAACCAACTTCTGTAAAGACTGCAGCCATGGAAACCCTACGGGGCAGGGCAGTTCTACTCTGATCTATAGGATCACTTTAAGTTGGAATCGATTCGATGGTAATGTTTGTTTTTTCTTCTTTTGGTTTAGCATATGAATTGATGGAGCTGTAGGATCATCATTGAACTGTTAACCACAAGGTTGGCAGTTCAAACCCACCTGCTGCTTCTCAGAAACCCTGTACAGGGTCCCTATGAATGAGAACCAACTTGACGACCACAATGAGATTTATCCATGATCCATAGAGATCTATGGATATTCTCGAGACGTTAATAATTTGAGACATCTTTAAACTAATATTATTTAAAAGTTTGTTGCTCCAAACCAAAACTCACTGCCATCAAATCAGTTCCAGCTCATAGCGACATTACAGAACAGAGCAGAACAGTCTCATGCAGTTTTCAAAACTGTGAATCTTTAAAGAGACAGATTGCCATATCTTTCTCCTGAAGAGTGGCTGGTGGGTTCAAACCAACGTTTTAGTTAGCAGCTGAGGACTTTTATCCACTGCACCACCAGACTCCTTGAATACTTGTCAGCCATACATTCTTTAGAAGCAGAGAAACAGATTTCCTATTCCGTTCCTCCTCCTAGTGTTCCTACACCACTGCTGCTCATTGCTGAATTGTTTCTGATTAGTGACAACTCTCTGAGTTAAAGCAGAACTGTATTCCACAGGGTTTACAATGGCTGACTTTTGGGAGGCAGATTGCCAGGGTTCTCTTCCTAGACACTTCTGTGTGGACTCAAACCAACAAACTTGGTTATAAATAAAGTATGTTAACCACTTGCACTAACTGGGGACTCTGATTTCCTGTTAATGAATAAGTTATATCTTTCTTTGTATTTGAAAGAAAAGATTTAAAACATACACTAAATCTAAGATTTTTACTTATTTGGAATTGTAGATTACTGATTCTCCCTCCCTCCCCCCCGCGCCCCCTTGAAGCAGACAACTTCATAACTGGCAGATTCCGCGAAATAAGATTCTAAAACACCTCACTGACTCCTGACTTTTTGCTCTATATTTACTAATTTCAGAATTCCAACAAATAGAACATCTAATTTCAGATTGTTTGGTCACGAGGCTGTGGTCCTGGTCTATGGCTGCACTACAAGTTTAGAAGGAATATTGTAAAAATATTTAGTAAGAGTAAGCAAAAACAGATAATTTAGTAAATCATACAGTGTGACCACATGTGGTCATCTTTATTACTGTTAGTATTAAACTTCCCCCCAGAGTGCTTTTTATTTATATCTTAGGAAGTAAATGCATGCTGAAAATTGAAGATTAAAATAAAACCTCCTCAAAACATGTCTGAATACAGATTTTTCTTAAGTGCCATATACTTTGTCACAGGAAAAAAACGGGGCAATAAACATAAAAACTCAGAATCCACTAACGTGAAACTTGGGAGGCATGTCATTGACTTAGATTGATAAGAAAAGTACAACAGTGCTATTAATGTAGCCCAGCCACAAGTGTCAGTATTCATCATATACCAAGGGGCAGTGTTCATCACGTATGCAAATGAATCACTTGTCTAATGCCAAGTGGCTGTTATTAAGTGATGTCAAGGCAGTTTCAACTAATAGTGATGTTGCAGAAAGCTTCAAGAAATGGCTAGTAAGTTTCAACTGTCAACCTTGCTGTTACCAGTCCAGTCCAGTGCTCATTCTACAGTGCCACACCTGGACTCCAAAACTAAGTGTCATATGTAAACATTAAAGTTGTCTATTCTTAACAGTTGGTTACAGGAAATTAGATACAGTCTTGAAAGTAAGCAAAATATAAATTTTGAATGAACTAATTTCCCCTAGTACACTAAGACCTTTCCACCACTAAATTCAAACTTCATGTACTACATTATTGTTGTTGATAAGTGTTGTAGAGTCAGCTCTGACTCATAGCCATCCTGTATAGGGTTTCCAAGGGACAGCTGGTATGTTTGAACCACCAACCTTGTAGTTAACAGTCCAGTGCTCCTCCTACAGTGCCACACAAGAACTCCTCATGTATTACTCTTGTTGCTGTTATTAAGTGCCGTGCTATGGAGTCAGTTCTGACTCCTAGTGACCCTGTATAAGGTTTCCAAGAAGCAGTTAGTGGGTTTGAACTGCTTACCAGTGCTGGTCCTACAGCGCCACACCAGGGGTCCAATGTACTACAGTAATACCAATCTCTCAAACACCTTGCAGGTTAAAGACCAGATTAAGAGAAACAAAGCATTGGGTGTTAGATACAAATAGGAACAAGTTACCTGCTCACACTGGTCCATACTGACTGGCCTGCCGTCACTGCGCACACAGCTCAGAAGGCGGGTCTTGACACCTTGCCCACAGGTGGCGTTTTCACTCAGCTGGCATGTGCTCCACTCTACAGGCATATGATCACCCACACTGAGTTTCAAAATCATGGCCATGTGATCAAAATACAACAAACCTTTGATTATCTGCATTAGTGGAGAAGGACAATGTGTACATAATGCTAGAACTACTTCCAGGTGGATCTAAAAATGCATCATACAATTGTTGTGTTTCAAAAATAATAATGATAAAAATAAACAAAAGTGAGTTAGTGGAGGTAAAAGACAAGTAGAAAAACAAAAAAGCTATTATGTTGGTAGACTGTGTTTCCAAGATGACTGGGGTAGGAAAGGAATAATACTAAACTGTTTTCAAAGAAGACAGTTTGGAACCCATTGTTTGCTGGGGAAATAATTGAGAGAGAGAGAACAGTATAGAAATGTTAACAGTTTTGATGTAACTTGTTAATATTTTCTAACACTAAATCCAGTTGTCTGAGTCATTTAATACATTTGGGACAGTGAAGCCCAAAAAAATACCCCTGCAGGGAAACAGGGAAAATCATATAGAACTGTAAAAACTGCTACAGAAATTTTAATTTTTTACAGCTAATTCTATCAGGAAAGAAGATATATAGATCTGTCTAGTCACATTAGACACTAGACAAATAACTGATGGTTAGAATATATTACACTGCAATTTAGTTTGGTTCTTAAACAAACAAACACATAAATCTTTTTGTCGCTGGAGGTAAGAAGGTCCTTGATCATATAAACTCTTAAGCCACCTACCAAATATGGGAAACATCAAACATCCTTGTATTTGATACGCGATGTAAGAATTCAACCTACAGAAACAGTAAGAGCTATGTGGTTTTGTAGCTGTTTTAAATTTTTTTTAAATCAAGTTAAATTGCAGTTTAATTTATAAATGTAAACTCCTTTAAGGATGCTTTCCATATTTAGTAGACGATCTAAAAATTTAATAGGAATGTTGTTGTTATTGTTAAGTGCCATTTAGTCAGTTCCCACTCCTAGTGACCCTATATAAGGCTTCCAAGGAGCAGGTGGGAGGTTTGAAATACCTACCTTGAAGTTAACAGTCCAGTGTTTACCCTACAGCACCATACCAGGACTCCAATAGTAATTTGTTCTGACTCAAAGCAACCCTGTATAGATTTTCCAATGAGCTGTTGGTTGATTTGAACCATCAGCTTTGTGATTAACAGTCCAATGCTTATCCTACAGCACCATACCAGGTAGGCCCTTTTTAATAGGCTTAATCTTCTAATGATATACTCTTTCACTAAAGCAAATTTCAATCTATTTCTGGAAATGGTCTATTAAGCCCAAGGATCTGAAACACCCTTATCTAAAGAAAAAGACAAATAGAACTGGTTATCAGACATCCCCACAGAATTCACTACATGAGATACCTCAGCAGTACCCACGTGACTGAGGGCCACTTATTCTTTTATTGAGAAAAGACAGTTGTGTGTCTGCTGGTTATGTGGAGATTGGGTCTCCAGGTTTGAATTCAACACTGAGACTTAACATGATATCACATTTGTGGCATTTGTGCTTATCTGCTGCTGCAGGGATTGGAAGCAGATCAAGGTAATTAAAGTCTTTTTTGTATTAGACACTGAGCAGTAGTGTCTGATACTGAGCAGTCACAATGAAGATGGTATGATCCTGTCTAGTGGCGCCCAGCATTTATCTTTAATGATAACTATAAAGCAAGTACACGATAAGCTTGACTTTCTTTAAAAATAAATTTCAAAAGAGGCCTTGAAAGAGCTATGCTATTAGGTAACTAAGTTATTACTATTGCCATCGATTGAATTGTGTTCCCCAAGATTTCTGTCAACTTGACTGGGCCACGACTCTTAGTACAAATGGCAGTTATGTAATGATCCTCCATAATATGACCTGCTGTGAGACGTAATGCCCTCAAATCCTGTTAGAGCCCTGGGGTGTTGCCTGCAATCCATCTTACCTTACAAGAAACAGAAAGACAGAAGTAAGCAGACGGAGAGGGATCTACTACCAGCAAGAAAGAAGCGCTATGGGTGGAGCACCTCCTCTGGACCCAGATCCCGGTGCTGGGTACCTCCAAAACCCAGGGGAAGATTGATACTAAGACACACAGAGTTCTTTAAAGATTGCAAAGCTTAGAAACCCTGAAAGGAGATAAAGCTCTTTCTCCTCAACCGTGAGCCAACAGAGAAAAGAAAGCCTTCCCCTAGAGCTGGAACCATGAATTCTAGCCTTCTAATCTGTGAGAAAGTAAATTTTTATTTGTTAAAGCCATACACCTACAGTATTTCTTATTATGGCAATATGAAATTCCTAAGACAACAACATACTTCTTATATGGTAAATTATACTCTGCTACTGAATTCCGGTGTTTCAGTTTATCATGGCTTAATTCAACATTATTTTGAAACTTTGCCCCATCTAAGAGTATTTTACTTCAGCGAGTCCTTGCCACATTGCCAACAATGGCATGCCAAGAGTGGGCGAGTCCATCTATGAAGGACTCAGACTTTTACAAAACTCGCACATATACGCTACACTTGGTTGCTAATCCAGAGATTGAGAACACACAGTCTCATTAATAGATAATAAGGAAAATGGCACATTCATATAAGTCCACTGTACCTGTTAGATTGTACTGGAACTGGAAGCAATTTTCATTAAGGAGGCAGGGCCGTACTTGTGAGTCTTCAGGACAAGTCCTCGAGCTCAGCGAAGGTCTCAGTAGATGGCGGGTTCTTGTCTGCATTGTGTGCGGGTCACATGACTACAAGCATTAAAGAGCAGGCAGAGTTAGTAAAGATGTGTGGTTAATTGATAAACTGGACATGATTACCTTTATACCTGCAGTCACACATATAATAACTACAGGTACGAGAGTACTGAGAGTGTTAAACACAATATTAGAAAATAAAAGTCGTCTGCAAATCATTGTAAACCAAATGCACAGTTGTTTTTCTTCCACCTGACAAACCATCTTGGTGTGCATCGGGGTGAAGCATATGTTTCTGTTTAACATGTATAGGTCCATGATCACTACGTTCACTTATTACAACTCATTCTGGAATCCCAAACAGCCACATTATACTAGATCAAGAAACTTTGAATGTTTATATGAATTAAAAAAAAAAAAAAAGGGACGGGCAAGGAGCTGTCCAGTTGGTTCGGACTCATAGAGACCCTGTAAAGGGTTTCAAGAATTTCCAAGGAGAGCTGGTGGGTTTGAACCATTGACCTTGTGGTTCAAACTGACCTTGTGGTCCCCTGCTCATCCTATGGCATCACACCAGGAGTTTAAACCACACAGAACAATGTAATGAGAAAATGATCTTTTTAAAATTCCATAATAGACAGGTACATAAAGGGATTATAAAACCAATATTGTCAATATACCAGAACTTTCCTCCTATCTAATAAAGAACCCCAGAAGTGAATCACTCCATATAATGCCTTTTAAATTTTTCAAGGGTTAATATGAACACATGAGATCTCCAAATATCATTTACTCAAGGGTCCATACATTGTCTTATAGCCTCAATCCCTTTAATGTTCTGAAACAGGTAAATCTGTCAGTAGTAACTTATCCAACAGCCCTACTACCCGCAGTGGGATATAATCTCCCACCTTGTGGAACAATCTCCCTATAAATGTCCTCTATATTCTGCCCTTCCTCCTCTTCAGAGTCCTAATGAAGGTTTACTTTTTCCACAGCCCTAATTTTAGTAATATCAAATTCCCCTCTTCCTTTTGTTCAGCCTTCCTCTCAGGCAAGGGAACTCTTGAAGGTACGTAATGCTTACAAACATGTGTAAATACATGTATGCATATATGTCCCATCTGTCCTATGGTTTTATTTTTCTGTCTTTGTACTGTTACGTCTCTTTCTTGTAAGCTTTTCAAAACAATAATGAACCACATCATTATTTTACTACCTGTGTCACTCACTGAAATTCTTGGTTTACCTAGAAGTTGCTTAGTAAATACCACTGAGCATCAAACACATTTCCAGACCCCCAAATCTAAAGAGGCACAATATCTATGAATTATGATGTCCAAATCACCACTACTATATTTCAAATGTTTTCTTAGTTTTTAAAACCTTTTTGTTTTTCAGAAATTGCAGCAAGGCACAACCTGTACACTAAATCATGGCTGTTGATGATTAAGCAGACTTTTTGGGATTGCACTGAAATATGCAGAAAAACATTGCCACTCCCTTTACCTCATTTGAAAAGCTTAGAATCAGTTGAAACACTTACTATTCATGTGACTTTATACTTGGATAAGCTGTCAATATCTGTAAAGTAATTTCATATTGTAATTGTATCTAATTGTCTCTAAATAATCAAGAAGGGCCACTGAAATCAGGCAATTATTCTTAATTATCTGCAAATGAATCTTATTTAAAATGCTTACCAATAATTTATTATAATTATTTTTGATTGTTTGTTCTCATGAGAAGGAATTAGGACTTAAATGTTTTGCCAATAGAAGAAAATTAAAGTCTCTTAGTAGAGATCCCTTATTGGTGCATTACTGCATTTCTATCTTACATAAAATCAATTAATGTCAGAACAAAATAGATACATGTATGAATTTATATGCCTGCTTAGACCAGGCCATCAAATAAAGTTAGAGAGAAACCCCTTCCTACCCATATAGACATACACATAAACTGGTAATGTAATTATGTAACTTTGAAATTCACGTATTTACTCTATGCTTTAGTTTCTTATTTAAACCTCATTTTCAGTTTGAATTTGCATATCAGTAATTGATGGTCTGTTCCACAGTCTGCCCCTGGCCTTGTTTTCACTGATGATATGGAGCTTTTCCATCTTCTCTTTCCACAGATGTAGTCAATTTGATTTCTATGTATTCTATCTGGCGAGGTCCATGTATATTGTCTGTTATGTTGTCTAAAGAAGGTATTTGAAATAAACAAATCATTGAGTTTTCAGAATCCTAGCTATTATGTGTTCTCAAGCATCATTGCTATTACCAAGACCCTATTTCCCAACTACTGGTCCTTCCTCTTTGCTCCCAACCTTTGCATTCCAATCTCCAGTAGTGAACAATAGATCTTGATTGCATGTTTGATCGATTTCAGATTGAAGAAGTTGGTAGAATTCTTCTATTTCATCTTCACTGGCTTTAGTGGTTGGTGCATGAATTTGAAAAATAGTGGTATTAACTGGGCTTCCCTGTAGGTGCATGGATATTATCCTATCACTTATAGCATTGGTACCTCATGACTGATCTGGATATGTTCTTTTTGACGATGAATGCAACACTATTTCCTTTCAATTTGTCATTCCCGGCATAGTAAACCATGTGTTTGTCAGAATCAAAATGGCCAATACCAGTCCATTTCAGCTCACTAATGCCTAAGAAATCAATGTTTATGCGTTCCATTGCACTTTTGACAACTTCCAATTTTCCCAGATTCATATTTCGTACATTCCATGTTTTGATTTTCAATGGATGTTTACAGCTGTTTCTCTTCATTTTGAGTTGTGACCCATCAGCAAATGAAGGTTCTGTGAGTTTTTATCCCATGAGCTTAACTCCATTCATGTCATCATGGTCAACTCTATTTTGAGGAGGCATTTTTTTCCCCAGTCGCATTTTGAGTGGCTTCCAACCTGAGGGACTCATTTTTCGGTACTGTATCTAACAGTGTTTCTCTGCTACTCATAAGGTTTTCAGTGACTAAAGATTCGGAAGTAGTTCATCACTCCTTCTTCCTAGTCTGTCTTCATCTGGAAGCTCATCTGAAACCTGTCCACCATGGGTGACCCTCCTGGTTATTTCAAATACCAGTGCCATAGCTTTCAGAATCACAAAAACTTACAAGCCACCACAATATGAAAGACAGACGAGTGGTGGCCATTTGGTTTTATGTAGAAATTATCACTTTAAATTTTGAAGAGATCTGTGCGCATGCATAGTAGAACCCTCCTCCAGGGGTGGGGGTTGGGTATCCAGTCACTCAGGTATCTAGTTACCAGAATGGAGGTGTGCAGTCAGGGAGAGACCAATGAACAATGGACAGATACCAAAAAAAAAAAAAAAAAGAATGTTCACAGGTGTATCTCCTCGGTTCTGTCAGATGGGTTCGTGGCTGTTCTGATCCTTCCCCCACTTGTACTCTCCCAAGATGGCAGCTCTGGGAGCAGCTGAGCATCTTGAATTAAAAGCAATGGATTTCTTGATTCTCCTACAAATTCCCCTAGCTGTAAGTCTTCCAATCTTCTAAATATTCCTTTATATGTGGTTCAGAGTTCTAGCACCATCCCCTGAGCCTGCTTTGCCCGGTATTCTGTGTTGTTGGTGACAGAGCTCTCACTGCACGTCTACCTGATCTGCCATCTTGATACAATCAATAAGGAAATTAGTCAATCACTAAAGGACAAATACTATATGACACCACTATTTCAAAAAGTGAAGAAAAGGTATTCATGCTAAAATAAACATTTTATGATGGTTACCAGGAGTAGGAGGGAGGGGGAAGTGATTTATAAACTAGAGGGTAGACATGTGTTAACTATGGTGACACAGAAGGCAACATACAAGAGGAAAATTGGCAGAAGAATGATGAAAGTAGAGGAAGACATGGAGAAAACTGTCAGAGTTAAAGGGAACAGAAGTAAACACTGTTATATATGTCTTGGTGGTAGTAATCACTGGACTATTAACAGAAAGGTCAGTGGTTCCAACCCACCAGCCACTACTTGGAAACCCTACACAGGGTTGCCACAAGCCAGAAATAACTTGATGGCACTTAACAACAACAACAATGGGTAGATACATAGACAGATACACAGACTGAATAGCCATGGGAAGGAGAGTGGGCATGCATCCACAAATATATTAAGGTTTGACAGAGGATTTTTGCATAAAAGTATGTACCTTTGCTGCTAACATATCCAAGTATTTGGTGGAGCATGGTGGTGATGGTGGTTATGTGCCATGGAGTCAGATTCAACTCACAGCGTCCCTGTAGAGGGTTTCTGAGGTTGTAAATCTTTAGGGAGCAGAAATCCTCATCTTTCTACTGTAGAGAAGCTGGTGGATTGTAACTGCTGGCCTTGCAGTTAGCAGTCTAACACACAATCCACCATGATACCAGGACTCCTTGTGGTAGAATTTACAGGGACCAAATTCTGAAAACTTCTTAGATATTAGCAAACACTTTGAAGGAATGATTTGCTGGGCCTGGGGCCTCAGAACCATAGTCTCAGGGGACACGATGGTCAAATGGCACAACAGCCCACAAAGACATACTGCATTGGGCAAAGATGCTGAGAAAGACTTCTTAGAAGTGTTGAAGAGCAATTATATCAGCTTGAGGACTAAGGTGCCCCTGAATCAAGCCATAGGATTTTCAATACATGTAAAAATTGGACAACAAATAAGGAAGACCAAAGAACTGATGCATTTGAGTTTGGGTGTTGTACAAGAGTATGAAAAGTACTATGGACTGCTTATGATGCTGTGTGCTAATACATCAGACTGCAAACTCATTTGAACTGCGAAGGTGGTGGTTCAAGCTCACCAGCTGCTGCTTGGAAACCCTTCCTATACAGGGTCACTATAGGTTGGAATTGAGTCGATGGCACTTAACAACAACACGGACTACCAGAAGAACACACAAATCTATCATATAAGAAATGCAACCAAAATACTCCTTAGAATCCAGCATGGCTAAACTTTGTCTCTCATACTTTGGACATGCTATGAGGAGAGACCAGTCCATAAAGAAGG